CAGAGAAACAGCAAGAGGGGAGGGGGGCGAGAAAGGGAAGGGGGGGAAAGAGCAGGGAACGAAGCAAGAGAAAGCGGGGGTGGGGGGGCCCACCCCGCGGAACAACAGCCGCCTCGACTTCTGGCTCTTGCACCGCGGCGGGCCCGGCCCAGTTGTCAATCACTCGAAGGAGCACTGCTCAGATTGGGCAATCACCCAGCACCCCTTTCGGCAGGCCAAACACACTACAGTGGGGTGGACGGAGGGAGAAGCCCGCGTGTCGGACCGACGCTACCTTGAAGGAGAAAGAGGCCACTTTATCATCGTATCCGTCCCCCCCCCCGTTTTTCAATTAAATAAAAAAGAACAGAATTAGTACTAGCTTGCTTTTAAGTATCTGATGCGGTGCCCTATCATTTCCCTCAGTCGTTCCCTTACCGCATTTGCTTAAATTCACTTATTTCTTAAGCTGCATTTTTTCATGGATGTGCTGTCTGTGAAGATCGCTTTCACCAACGCACGTTTCACTGTTAAGCGTTTCATTTTCCATCTGTGTTGGAACTTAAAACCTAATATGCTAAATTGTGCATTCCGTTAAAAACTGGTTCCCTCCACATTAACGATGATCAGAAGCATTACTTTTCCAGGGTAAGCAACATTCTTGGCTTTGCTTATGAAAATATCCCCAGGACTATCAATGGTTAACTCATCATCAGACCAGCTGGATTGGGTTAGAGCAGTCATATTCCTGGATAATCAATCCTTTTCCTATCCATAAATGGTTCCCAAAGTGTAAATCAAACTGAAATGGATGCATTGCATGGTGTATGCTAAAGGACATGCAGATGACACTTCCAAAAAGAAAGGAAGATGAGAGCTAAAGATGCCAACAAAAAAATAAAATTAACATGCTAAGGGATACTTTGTGCAGTTTCCAACAGACCAGCCAGATCATGGCAGCCCAACACACTTTCCCAATGTGCAATCCACCAGGCAGATAATATCCACAAAACCTATACGCTTCCATTTCAGAAACATTATATAAATGTTATGTTATATATTAATAGGAAATATATATTTTTACAGTATTTCACGTGCGGTACAAATATCAAAGTCACTTTTAATGACTGAACACCAAAAATCACAGGAAAAAAAATTCAATTAAAAATGAGTGGGTGGAGTTTAATGGTGGAGCATTTCCAAGTAAAGCTAGTAAAATTTAAATTCCAGAAGACTAATAGGAATCATTGTTGACAAGATTGGAGTAAGTGGACTCCAATATTGGTGTGACTCAATATAGAGCAGCTTCCTGTTTTTGGTGGAATGGTATCCACTTGCTATACATTTACATAACTGAGGGACCGTCTCAGCTCCATCACGTCAACCTGTCCCACCCAGTCAGGCAGAGACGGCATGCTGCGGACCCTGTCAGCGAGAGAATGTTGGCTGGTGGGGCCCAGGAGAGCCTTCTCTGCTGTTGCCCCTGCCCTCTGGCATATTCTCCCCCAGAGGTACAGCAGGCCCCTGGACCCTCCCAGCTTTCTGCAAAGGATTAAAGACCTGGCTCTGCCAGCTTGCGGGGGTTACAAGAATCTTACCCAATCCTGGGGTGGCTGGCGTCTTGATGATACTCCCCGAGTTACTGCCAATTTTAACTTCTACCCTTAGATTATATTTATTTTCTATTTATTTAGGATTATTTTATATTGTAATTTTAATTGATTTTAACCGGTTTGTAAACCGCCCAGAGTCGTTTTAACAAGATGGGCGGTGACAAGTTTGATAAACAAACAAACAAATAACTATACAAGAAAAGTATAGAGGGAGAGGGTTTCTTCCATTTTAGCAGTCTTTTTTTTTTTTTTTTACCATTCTGATCATTTACACCAAACAATAAACACAAGTCTATAAACAGCAACTAATCTGTTAAATCAGCTTGAATAAAAACAGTAGGTAGCAGGGATTGCAAAAGAGATTCAATTATTTGATAAAGTGATGAGAGCTAAAAAAGGATTTATGGCAGATATATATGGCAGAACAACAAAAAAGAAAACAAGGTTCCAAAAATGATTTTGAAAAAGAAGCAGATGTTTGGAGGGGAAACAAAAAGAAGGCAGGTTGGCTGAAATGAAGTAGGAGATTGTTTTGAGAACAAATCTCCCTATGCACATCAACTTTTTTCTGGAAAGAATGTCTCCTGCCAATTAGAAAACCCCTTTCTTTCAGGAGCAAAAGAAAATCCATGATAAAGACTTGTAAAAAGGCAAAAGAGGAATACCATTTATACTCTACAGCTGAAAGACTTTTCCTTCAGATTTTCTCCTACACTGAAGTTCCATTCTTTTACCTTCCTTGAAAACTGGTATGACTTAATGGGACCTTCCAAAATATGCATTGGAGCACATGTATTATAAGCCAGCAATTTTACTGGTTTTTATTTTATTTTATTTTATTTTATTGGCAGGATATCACCTACTGCATAGGTGTACATACTATGAACCTCAGCATTTAAAAATACTACGGAGTTAAATTGTTGGAGCTGAGGCCCAGTAATATAATAGAAGATTATGCCCAAGGAATATATAAAATTATGCCTAAATTGGTAGTCTGAGTCCACATGATTTAATATGGATTTCATTTTTGATATCTCTTGATTAAATAAGTCAATATCAATCTGAAATCCAGCAGGATTGTATGGTAGCACATGTTTAGATGTGCAAGCACTGCTAGATAAACTCCCTTATTAACTTCGAACAAAAAAATCAGAATTTACAAGCCACAAGAGCTCTATAATATTAGAATAATTTGTTACGTAGGCTCACCAGAAACCTAGTAAAAACCCATCTCGTTGCCAATGATTAGGATGGTAACAAAATCTGATTTGTGCATCTATGCAGAAGACATTGAGGCTCTCCTGCCAATTTCACAGACAGATATAGCCCAATAATAAAGCATCTGCTTTGTATGGAGAAAGTCCCAGGTTCAATCTCAGAGTAAGGCTGGAAAAACTACAATCCCTGACAGCCACTAGCAGTATGTACAGGCAATTTTCCCCAGGGATGAATGGTGTAGAATAAGCCATGAGAATCTCATTGGGAGGCAACATATTTTCCCTCTTTCACTAGTAATCACTCATATAGTCAAGTCTATACTGTAGTTCCAGAAACGGGGACCACAATTCTACAGCACACAGCTGTACCGCTATCCAATATTAAGGTTCTGCACAGTAACATTTATGAAAAGATAAATAAAGGATGAGGGTTTTTAATTTATTTTTATATATTCTTCACTCAACAGATAATCTATTCTGAGTCATGTGCAGATTATTTTCCTAAAAATAGCCAATTCATACTGGAAGAACGTATGAATAGATACTTATTTCCACCATTCTCACTTTGAAATATTATTTCCCCAAATATCAGTTAAGTCACAGAAGAGACAACTGAAAAATGAAAATCAGAGGAAGTATTTAATTACTTTTCCCATATAAAAAGTAAAGTTCCTGCAAACTGATCTTAATTCCTGGTAACTTCAGAGATGTTGTTTTCTTGGTAAAATATGGAAGTAGATTGCCATCGCCTACTTCCAGCTATTAATTCCATTTCCCATTCTAATCTTCAGCCCTGGGATTTTCTAGTGGTCTCCCATCTAAGTACTGACCTGTCCTTCCCTGCTTTGAGTCCATTTGGTGAACTTTCCCATATCAATTTTATGTTATGCAGTAGAGTCTCTAAAATCATATACCAACTAGACCTCTGTATTCTGCACAAACGCTATGTTAAAGCAGTTACAGTATCTACACTAGCCACTGAAGTACTATAAACATAAGCATTCATTAATGTCATGAGAGAGGTCCCTGCCATATTTCAATTGTATTTCAGGTGAAGTCTAACCATGCAGGATACAATGGAACTATTACTTCTCATAACAGCCTGTGATTTATTTCCCATGATTTGGAATACTAAACCAGTTTGATTTAACTGTGATTTGTTGAATAATCCAAATGATGTGGTGCACACAACACACTAAGCTATAAATTATGGTGTACAAACTACAGTGTCTGGGTTCATAATTCCATTAAGCCTACACTAAACAAACCACCTTATGGCTTCTGACACTGTGTGAACCCAGAAGCAGGCCTAG